CATATTATTTTTAGAGGATGATCTTGTGTTATATTCATGAATAGATGATGTCTGCGAGAAAAAGTTAACGATTTTTGGGGGTGCAGAATTAGTATGAATATCATGCATTGAGTAAGATACGGACTTAAAATAGAGAAAGCTAATTGGCAGGATATTTGCATCAATAAAAAGAGGAATGGCATGAACTTTCCTGTTGGCAAAAAATATGAAACGGATAACTTTTTTCTGAAGCAATAAGATTTTTGTTAAATGTGTTTTTGACGCCTGCCCCCAAACTATCAAACCGTAAGATAAATAAGGCAAGATGAACGCACGGTAAATATTTAGCAAGGTATGTTGAGGAACAAAGTGCCTCAATTTAGCGATTAAACCAACCGTTTTACTTAATTTAGTAGCTACATTGTCAATGAGTATTTTCCACGAAAGATTTTTGTCAGTCAGAATGCCTAAATATTTAACATAATTTTTCATTTCTAAACTAACGTATTGATCAGGGGTACCCAACGGCAATTTTCGGGAAAATATCTGTTCGGAAGACGATTTGAGAACTAGAATTTTCGGAACATTTGTTGTAAAATTTCTTGCTTGACTGCCTCTCCTAGGATTTTCGAACATCTACAAAATGGTATAATTACCCATTTTAAACGGATATTTACCCTAAAAAAGGCCACGTAGAATTTTTGGGAGCCTTTTCCTGGCTGAAATTTTCGAAAAGGTAAGTTTTGATCCCTATAATTTTCGGATCACTAGACTTTCAGCTAGGAAATCCAAACAGATGAAAAGTTTTTAGGGGATAAAAATATGCCTATATCTACCGTTTAAATACTAAAAGACGTTCAACAATGCTATGTTAAGTAGTTTTGAACTATATCCTCGTTGGGTGCCCCTGATTGATTGATATCAGTATCGAAGATCTTAAGTTGGGGAAGGTAGTCAACAGACTTCTGGTAAGGATGAAAAATAACAAAATTGCTTTTTTTGGTATTAAGGGTTAATTTATTTGAGACCAGCCAAAGATACAACTTTTTAAGCTCAGAATTTACTGTTGCCTCAAGTGACCTTAGGTTCTTGTTGGCATTCAGTATGTTAGTATCATCAGCAAAGAGGTAGAAATTAAAAGTATAAGAGCATGTATGAATATCGTTAATATATAAGAGGAAAAGCAACTGACCTAGTACAGACCCCTGTGGAACACTATTAGATATTAGAGCTGCATCAGATAATTGTTTGTTTATTTCTAGTGTTTGTGATCTGTTGCACAAAAAGGATTCAAACCAGTTATTAATTATTCCACGAAAAACATAATGATTTAACTTATTTAGAAGAATTTGATGGGTAATATCATAGGTGACGAATTACTCCTTAATTTTGGCGCGAAATTTCAGCTATAATTTGTAATTTCACATGTGAAATTACGAAATTGCCATGGCAACCTTCCGTACGTCTCAGTGTCAAGAGGACGACGAAGTTTTAAAATGTCATGAATGAAGATGCCAGGGCATATAAAGACACTTTAGAAAACCTGAACTCACCAAAGAGCACATTAAGAAGGATTCTAACAGGTATTTTGTAAAAAAGTTCTAAACTTGACTCAAATTTAAGCTCTAAACGTTAGAGAGAGTGGAGTTCTCGATCGATACGATCCAGGATAAACATGTCAAAAATCCAAGATTGCTAACGTAATTCGTCACCCATGATATTAATAGGTAATCAAATTAATGGTATACTCGTGAAATTAGGGAATAATTTCGCTTGCGTTTTGTCCAAATCCTAATAATTTCCCCCGCCTAAAGGCTCAGGAAATTATAACGATTTGGACAAAACGCGCGTGAAATTATTGCCTAATTTCACTCGTCACCATTTGATTACACATACTAACTGTATCGAAGGCTTTCTTTCAGTCAATAAAAATTCCACAGGTAAATAAACGTTTATCCATATTAGACTGAATTGCAGTAACTATATCTACAATGTCATGTTCAGTAGAAAACCCTTCTCTAACCCCATACTGAGCTGAAAACAAAATATTCTTATCATTAATAAAATGCATCATTCTTTTATACATAGCCTTTTCAAAGATTCTGTCAAATACAGGTAAGAGAGAAATTGGTCTATAGTTATTTGCATCTGTCTCATACTCAGTTTTAAACACAGGTATGACTTTAGCATTTTTGAGTTTTGAAGGGTAGCTCCCAGATGTGACCGACAAATTGACGATTTTAGCTAAAATGTCGCTGATAATAGTACTTGAATATTTCAAGAGTGTAGTCGGGCAGGAGTATAAACCATGAGATTTATTGTTGGGTAAAGCCAATACTTCTAATTCAACTTCCCTGGCAGTTACAGGCTTAAACATGAAAGAACTCGATGGAGATTTCGTTCTTTTGAGAAAGTCGCGATGATCACCAGAAACAGACGCAAAAATGATCATTTAGTATATTAGCAATTCTTTGTGGATTGCGATTAATCTTATTCCAAGAGAGGATAAAGGGGACAGAGAAGGCATCCCCCATACTCACCCTATTCCATAGGTAATTCGTCTCGAGTTATTTTTAAGACCACAGATCCCGAGGGGGATTAGACAACAGCCAATCACATAGCGCGAATGTGCTCCGCGTGGATGAACCACGCTCAGAGCCACGCGTCTTTCACGAATTGACGCTAAAAAAATGGCGGAAGATGCGGAGAGCGATATTGCTATTCGTTTTGTCGACGAAAACGACTAAAGAGAGATTTCTGCTAAAGCTGTGTCAGCTAAACAGAAATTAAAAAAGAATCGCCCTTCCTCTCTTGTATAGAGCTAACAGTAGAGCAGGGAAATCCTTAACACACTGAATATTTTCTCAGGATCATTTATAATTTACAGTTTGAAGGGAGCAATTTCTGGTTTGATATTTATTCTTTTAGTAGTCTTTTATTATTCAACAAAATAACACTTGGCGTCCTACTTGCTTTATTGTACAAACGACCGGTTTCAATAGACCGGCGAAATTTCTCATTTTATTAAAGCACTGAGGTTACGGCAACTTCGAGTTAAACTGATTTCACGAGTTGTGAAAGAGTCCAGCGATTCTCTTTTCCCAGGTGAGCGCCGACTCATTTCGCTTCAATATTCAGAAATGCTCTCGATCTCTTTACGCTTTCATTGCCTTTCGCCCGACATGTTTTGCACGGCGTTTAGTCATGCGAAACCTCCACGAAACATCCACGCTGAACGCGAGGTAGCTTTTTGATCCCGATTCTCAAAATAACTCGAGACGAATTATCTATGGAATAGGGTGTGTATGGGGGATGCCTTCTCTGTCACCTTTATCCTCTCTTGTCTTATTCCCATTATTGAAGTCTTTTATCGCATTTACATGTCGGGATTTTTTAGTTTTACGATTCAATAGACTATTTAACGCTTCCCAGGTCTTTGTCATATTCTGTAAATTTTTTTCAAAATAGTCATGGAAGTAACCTCTTTTATTAATTCGAATAAGATGATTAATTTTACTTCGATAAAACTTATATTTAGTTTGTCACCAGAAGCAAAAAGTTTATTTTTAGTCTTAAGTGAAGCTCTTACCCCTTGTATTATCCATGGTTTTGAAAAACGCATCAATTGGCGTCGGGAAATCTGTTTAATTGGCACATGCTTGTTAATTACTTTATTATATTTACTATAAAAAGAGGAGAATATATAATCAAATGTCATTGTCCATTTGCTATAATCGACTGCCAATCAGTTTGATTAAGATCCTGCGTAAAAGAATCCCTATCGAAATTTGTGAAGTCGCGCATTTTTCTCTTAGCGGGTTTATTTCTGTCTCTTGCTGATCTGAATACACAAAACTGCGAGAAATGGTCACTTACATCAGAAATTATGTTGCCACTCACTGATACACAATCAGGATTATTTACAAATATATTATCAATTAGAGAAGCCGAGTTGCCGCGAAACTCGCGAAGGTTTGTATTTGTCAATGGTAGGAATGAGATAACAGCTCTGAAGAGATAATAGAAAGTTGTGACTAAATTCCGATACCTCACTTTTCAAAAGACAAGATTGAAGTCACCCATGACGCAAACATTTTTCTTAGTAGAGATAATTTTTTCTAATGTTTGTTCACAATTATACTCTAAGAAACGTTCAGGAGAATTATGTTGTCTGTAGATAATGCCACAAATTATATTCTTTTTGGATGCAAAACTTAATTCGACCCAAAGGACTTGGAAGGCTTCATTAGAGGGTTTTTCTAAGATGGTGTAAGGAAGTGTCTCATCAATAAACATCCCAACGCTACCGAAAGCGAGAGGCGTTGGGACAAATTCAAATTCATAACCAGACAGGGAGAATTGGGCGCTTTTCGAGTTAGAATCATTAATTTTAGTTTCTGTTATTCCTATGATATTGAAGTTAAAACCAGGGTTCGTCTAAAATAGAACTTTGAAGGTTTTCAAAGTTCTTACTGAGACTTATCAGATTATCATGAAATATCGAAAAGGAGTTGTCATCATTCTTAATCACATATTTGTTTTGCTCCTTGAAACCTTGTGGCGAAAAATAGCGGCTATGAATACGCTGATCATATAAATTATCAATTGTATTTACGTCACTGTTACATAAGGTATTTAACTTAAATCAATCTAATTCATATAAGCTAGTTAACTTATCGAGATATCTTTTCGAACGTATATTGCTTTGGAGTAAGTTATTAAAACGACCATGAAAGTCCACTAAGTTTCCTTTACAATTAAAGTAAGGCAGTTCTTTCAAAAGGTCTCTCAGGACCTTTTCATGTTGCTTATTTCTTGTTTTTTTTGTCATACGAAAATCAAGGCAAAAATATAATTAACCATAGGAACAAACAACTATTGTAAGAGCTAAGATACTTAGCTGTTTAGGTTGTTCTAGTCTATACCTCACCGGTTTGTAATGACTGAAGATCTTGAAAAGTGTTCAGTTTATGAATGCGCGAGTTATCTGTCATCCTATGGAATATTGAACCTTGCTTTGCCCAGCAGAATTTAAAGCCCTTGGCTTGTTGAACCTTTTTTGCCTCGGTTAACAGTGCTTGGTTAAGAGGAGATAAGTGATCGTAAATACCAAACCGTAACAATGACACTTCAACGCCCTAACCCAACTGACTCGGGGTGACTTTGGAAACCTCTTTCCGTGCTGCCATCACTCTTTCTTTGACTTGTCTCCTAACAAACTTGCAAATTATGGGCCGTTCGGTCGACTTGAAGCTTTACGAGCAGGAACGCGGTGGGCTATATCGAGCCCTTAGGCTAATGTTCTTCGCTGAACCAAGAACTCATGCAGTTCCGTTGTTTTTAGAAACAAAACAGTTGCCGATATCGTTCTTGCTATTTGAGCAAATGAGCCTTTTAACGTACGACGTCCATAATAATCTCGCTCCTGATAACATTAAGAATATGTTCACGAAACTGTCTTCTGTCCACAGTTACCGGACTAGATCTGTTACTAATGAAAATTACTATGTTGAACAAGTTAGAACTGAAAATATGAAGCGAGCCTTCTCTATTTCCGGTGCTTTAATTTGGAACAGAATTCCACTTTCTATGAAAACACTTAAAAAAAATCAATTCAAAAGCGAACTAAAGAGTAAACTCTTTGAAATACTGGAAAAAGAGGAGGACTATAGTAGAGTTTCTGATATTACAGGGCAATTCTCAAAATCGTAACATGGTGTGCTTCCGTATGAAGTACAGTCTGCCTTCCTGTCTCACTCTGGCTATAAACCACACGACAAACTAGATTGCTTCTAGGATTGTTCGTTTAACATATATATCTAGCCGAATTTTTGAAAACATACCTCAAAATGGGCCAGAATATTCGCACAGAAAGCTGGCGATAGCCAGGTTTCTGGTCACTGCGGTGAGAAAAAACATAGGGGGCTTGCTGTCCTGGTTGGTCTCATTGTCAAGCTCAGTCCCTGAGCTAACTCGCCATGGGTTGGAAAGGGGCCTCCATGTCAATCCCTAGGGGGGGAAGGTGCTGCAAAAGCGTTGTACCTTCAGTTGGTCCTGCTCTGGGAAAAGTCAGTGCACTGGTCATGTCTGCCTTTAGTTTGTCATGTCAAATTCTTGTAACGTTTGAGGCCCATTGTCCAATGAAAGCATTCTCCTCAAGCACGTGCTAGGCTGGGGGGGGTGGGGGAAGTCAGGGGGTGATTTAGCCTTGAATTCTCTGCTTAGAACTTGGTTAAGTCTCAAGCGTCCTCCGTCATTTAGGGCCTTTAAGCAGCTAGAGTGTATGGACAAGTCCAGAGTGTCTTTTTGATGGACTTGAATGTTTCTTTTGCTAATCAGGAACCAAGAAGAGAGTCACCTTAAGAGAACCATGGGTAAGAGCTGAGTTTCTTGGCGATATTTACTTTAGTTGAGTCGGGTTAAGGTGTGTGGGCTCCTGGAGTCCCATGGTACGGTTTTCATAAATCCGGCTAGATATATATATATATTTATACAATTTTCCTTTTTCTCTTGTACCCGCCTCGAATAGCCTTCGCTAATTGCGGGCACAAGCTTTGTAAGCTATATTTAATTTGAAATAAACTTGTTGTTGTTGTTGTTGTTGTTGCATGGAAACATCCTTCACACCCATTGAGTGAAACAACTGTATACATAATTTAACCGTCGACTCTGAGTTCTCTCGCTCCGCGAAAGTAGGCAAGCCAAAGATTTTGATGTTATACTGATAGCTGTAAGCCTGCATTTCATCAATAGCAAGGCGTAATTCATTGCATCTGTGGTCTAACCCATTCAATTTGGCCTTAATTGACTGTAGCTGTTCCATGATTCCATCGTACTGACTACTTATAAAGTCAACAGATTTACTTTGCCCAGGTGAAAGTGAACACGATGAGGTGCCATCTTGCGATTTGCAAGTTACAAGCTTCGAAAGTTTCTCAACCTCCTCTTTGGTCGCTTGTAAATCGGTTCTCAACTTTTCGTTTTCTTTTCTAAGTTTATCCATCCGTTCTTCCGCTTTGCTTTAGGTTTTAGTAATAGAAATTTAACAGAGATTTACACCGAACTATAGCTCAAAAATAACGCGACCTACTCGCTCGAAGGCCATGCGCCATGTACTTTACCAAAATCGACCAGAAGACACGTAAAATTTGACAAATTTATAATTGGAACCCCATGACTACCGGATTTATTATGTAAACTTTGATTCCCGTCATCAGTATGGAATTGCTGCCGCTGAGTCGCAGACGTTCCTCCGCGCGAAACGTTTCCAGCGGCGAAGAGCGACGAGAAACGGATGTTTTCGCAGGCTAGTTGCATTTTGACCTGGATCAAAAATAAATCGAATCGATTTTTTTTACCGTGGCCACGAAAAATTTTGATCTCTTTGACTTTCGCTGACATTCACTCTAAGCTGTTTTGTCCTCCGAATAAGTGTTGCATGACTGTTAAGAAGTTTAGCCGGAAAGCAACCCGATCGATTAAAAACTGCATCGCTGTTTCCCTTTTTACACGGGGGAATATAACAACATAAGTCATTTAATACAAGGTTCATGATTATTGCATCTGAATGCCCTCTGTGGTAGTCTTCAGGTGCACCCAACGGCAATTTTCGGAAAATATCTGTTCGAAAGACGATTTGAGATCTAGAATTTTGGAACACGTGTTGTAAAATGTCTTGCTTGCCTGCCTCTGCTAGGATTTTCGAACATCTACATAATGGTATAATTACTCATTTTTAACGGATTTTTACCCTAAAAAAGGCCATCTAGAATTTTCGGGAGCCTTTTCCTGGCTGAAGTTTTCAAAAAGGTAAGTTTTGATCCCTAGAATTTTCGGATCACTAGACTTTCAGCTAGGAAATCCGAACAGATGAAAAGTTTTAAGGGGATAAAAATATGCCTATATCTACCGTTTAAATACTAAAATACGTTTAACAATGCTATGTTAAGTGGTTTTGAAATATATCCTTGTTGGGTGCCCCTGAGTCTTTAAGTATACCGTCAGCAACTTACCTCGCCAACAAATGGTTCTCAGGCGAATAGCTCCAGAGAGGCTATGGAAACTCTTCCCAAGAGTGGGTATAAAAACGATGACGTTTCCTGATTACTTAATACCGCTTTCAACGCTACTTCTTCATGAGAGATGACTTATGAACAGCTCGTTAGCCCTATAAGGCTGTATTTACGGACATTGTTGGTTTCTTTTCTTCCCAGAGGAATTGTTAGTGAAGACCTCTCTATCGAACAATGGCCGATATTTGATCAATCATCCGTTAAATAATCCTTCCCGCTTCGTGAAATTATTCAGAATATTTGGTTGAGATCCGTGGAAAACAGGAAATCAGAGAAATTGTAGTACAGTGTATATTGATCTACTAAATAAATCAATAAAAAATTCACTTATATTGCATTGTATCAGATTGTATAGCCTGTATAAAGTGAGGGATGATTATAAATTAAAGAGTTCTGCCTTGAAGAGAAAAAAGAACATACTTACGCCTTAATATTCATTGTAACTGTTGCTTTTTTTAGAGCAGAAGAACTCCAAATAACAAAAAAATAGAAAATCGCATCGGCTGAAAATAGCTAGCCTGCGTTGCAGCCGGCCTGCACGCCCGTCCAAACCATTTGTATAGTCCGTCTGGGGAATTAGTGCACAAAAGCACGTTCTAATATCCTGCAGAGTCGCAATGACATATGTGAGCGTTTCTCATAGGCGGGTTTCTTACGAGCCTCACGATTGGCCTAATTTTTACGTGTGCGTGACGGTTGGGCGCAGTGACATGTCAAAATTCACAGAACAGAGTTGGCAAGGATCGTTTACAGTAAATAATGAAATATCAGTTCGAACTTTAAAGCCGTCTTCTGAGCAAAAAAATGCTTTGAGATAATTCCTTCAAGGCCAGAATTTGCTCGTAAATTTGCCGGCTGGTTTTCCAGCGTCTTCCAATCGATGTAGATGCACTACCGCGTATTCTGCAATCTAGCCGAAAGTTCTAGAGTCAAAACAAATCAGGAAATCATGATATTCACGATTAAAAAAAAAAAAAAAAAAAAAAAAAAACATCTACACACATGTAGCTATTCAGGTCCAGGCATTTCGTTGAAAACAAAGAAACTAAGGTTGTTTAGCCGCAATACTGAAAGCCTAAAGCTTGAACAGAGGTAAAAGAAAATCATTTATGCATCTGTGATCAAATCATCTCAGAAAACATTTGTCAAAAAATAAACCACAGGAACTAATTACTCAATATACATGGAACAGACCAGCTTCACGACATCTAAACGTAGCTAAATGTGAGACTCAAAGCGGCAAAAAAAAATTTGCTCGGTCAAATTGTAGAATACTCCATGCACTGTAGAATTTACGCAAAAAGAGAGTTAAAAAAACATCTGTTGTTCAAGCTACTCTGCTGAAGTCACGTTTCACACTATCACGAGCTGAGTCACGTTTGGCCTGTCAACACTTAATTCAAATCGGACTAACCACAAACTACGTAAGAAACTAGCCAACCAATAACGCCGACATATGTGTTTGCGACTCTACGGGGTTCGAACACGATATTGTGAACTAATTCGCAAACGCTCTATATAGAAGGTTTAGAGCGTCTGCGACGCAGGCTAGAAATAGCAGGAATAATCTTAAAAAAAGCCAGATATTTTGGTCGCAACGAGACTCGAACCTGATTGACGAAATTGCACGCCATACCACCTCTGCGCAATTAATCCATGGATAGGCTGTAGTTACTTTAGCGCTATTTTTAAGAAGCGTATCTCGTGAGTGAGTACCTTTACCAATAAAAACTGTTCGCGACGTTTTATCCATATTAAGTAGATTTTTCTCAGTCTTGTACATCATTGGACACGATTTACGTTCACTTGACGAACATGTTGTTCCCCCCAACTCTCCAGATGCAATATATGCCATATAATGCATGTGTGTCGCCGAGCCGCTAATTCAACCATATTTATCCTATAGAGAATACTTCATGGAAAGTGCTAGCGTACGGTATTTACACACGAGTTGTTGACGTATCAGAAATCGAACGAGTGAGCGCAGCGAAGGAGTGAGATTTCTGATACAAAAACAACGAGTGGGTAAATACCCTACGAAGCACTTTACATGTGGTATTGTGTTTATTGTATACATACTGAGACATTCATAATTTTGGTGGCCTTTTTATTTTAAATCTTTCCAAAATGCTTAAATTTGCCGCTACACACCACGAAATAACAGTGAAATAACAATGAAAACGAAGTATCAGCTTTTTAGTAGAAACGTTTGTTAAAAACATAAATGACGGTAAGGATATGAGGTAATCCAAGAACTACAAGTAATCTTAACTGTTTGTTCTGAATGTACTATTGAAAATGAGTGAGTTTAAGTAAAATGGCCGGTTTCAAAATAAGCTAAGCTTAAGCTTATAAATGGAAGACAAAGTAACTCCGACAAAAAGAACAGCATAAGGTTACGCCTTGTTCTGTTTTTCCCCTTCCGCTGTTTTTTCGGCTGCTCTCCACAGTTTTCTTTATCGACAGTGAAACAAACGAAACTATTTCACTCCATTTCTAAAATGCTTTTCACTTTTTTAACGAGAAAAAACTCTTTGAGAAAAACTTTTCTCCTCGAATGTGTGCGAAGCGGCGCTCAGAAAGCTGCAAGAAAAGGCGGGAATTTTGGCGCGAAACTCACACACCTCTGTGGCCTCTGATTGGACGTATCACTTTTCTCACAGTGAAAAAACATCGTTCGCGATTCTGATTGGACGTATCATTTTTTTGACGTGTGAAAACCATAGATCACTCCTCTGATTGGCTAGAACTCATTTGCGTATCAAAATTTACAACACAACTTTTTGGTGAGCCAGTATGTATATAATAAACCTGGATATGTGTACGGGCAGTATGCAGCTAAATCCTGTCGTAGCTCAACAAACTTCTTATCCTTCAAAAACGTGCTCATCGATTAATTTAGTTTGCTCCTAGTTATGCTCATGCTATTCCTTTTTTCATGAAAGCAACGAATTATGATCTATTTTTTGTTAGGGGAAAATGTGGATTTCATTGGTTTGTGGGTTTATTTCATGGCACGTGGACTACAAAATTATAAAATAAGATTTCATTCGTTTTGAATAAGTTTTTCTCCTTAGGAAATTTCTGTACGCATATCATACGTACCCTCGAAATTGCATTTTCTAGAAATAATCATTCAGCTTCGTCACTGAACGACTGGACCTTTCTCCTGTTCAAATACCAACCGTTTGTAGTTTTTATTTTGACCTCTTAAGGAATCCTGGGCAAAGGAAACTCGAAATCTTTTGCACAACTTTACTGCTGAATCTTTGTAAGTTTCCGAAATTCACTCATGATTTGTTTAGTGACCGACATTTAATTTTCAGTCATTTAATTTGACATATGAACTTTAAAGCTGAATTTATCCAGATTTGTTTTCAGTGTTCAGCTGATTTCATTCAGCCTTCTTTCCATTTGTTTTGTGATGTTGCAATAAGTTGATCAGTTAGTATGAACAGAGCACTGTTATCGCTGTTTTTCGATAGAGTTCATTGCGGATTCACATTGATTTACATTTTGGATGCACATGCATGTACGATTTTACGTCCACGAGCTGAAAATCCAAGTTTGAGTGCGTTCCTGTTCTCCAGTTGTAGCAGATCCTTGTACCGTTGAACAGTGACGAGTTCCAGTCTTGCTAGCCAAGCGAGTTGCAGAGTTAGTTTTCCCCTTGAATGTTCATACGCCGTAACGTGAAGTCGCTCGAATTCGCTGAGATAACACCCAGGCTTTTCAAAATAGATGTAACGTATTTAGTGACTTTAACTATTCTTAGCGAGTAATTAGG